ATCTACAAGTGACCCTCAAAATAAGTGTTACTGAAATTAAAACACACATATTGTTAAGGGCTTTCATACCCTTGTATTTCAAAACGCTCCATGAGAAGAAGACACCACCACTTCCGAATCAAAGGCATGTCCATCTGAATGAAATGTGAAAGTGACAAAGACAATTTTTGATTCACAATGTCCATAATAAATCATTTTTCTTCAAGATGAACAGTATGATGCAACATAAGCAACACCTTAAGTAGGCATTTACTTCTTTGGTAAAAGAAAATGGAATTCAAACCCGGCGCTTGTAACAATGGACAGAGTATACTGGAACAAAGAAGATGGAAAACAAAGCATTATATTTACAATGTTTACAGAAGCCTGCAAACGTACCAACTGATACCCTACCATAAGCATAAAATCCCGCAGTCATTTCCACAGATCTGGCGTGGCAAGCCCTAAAATCAACAACAAAAAAAGATAACATTAAATACATGACTGATAGATAAAACCCAAGTCTTCTCCGTCACATGATGATTTTTACATGATGTGCAGAGTACAGGCAATAGTAATTTATCTTTGCAGTAGCTATGGATTTATTATTAATATTTGTTGTGCATTGATTATTCACCGCAATATCATGCCCAGTCTTCTCAGTCCAGCTCCCAGGATCAATCTGCTGAGCAAGACTTCTGCAAGACAAAAATTAACAAAAAGAAATTTTGGAAATCATAATGTTAAAGTTCTTTGGTACTTGTGCACATAAGTCTACAGTAGCTGCCACATGTCTTTGTCAAAATTGCCTTGCAGTACCGGCATGAACAGATCTTTAAAAAGATAACAATTATTTCCTAAAATCAGAGAAAAGCAATACAAATCATTTCAAACAGATATATGTGACAACCACTGAGACATTAGACAATAGGAACCAAAACATACCAGTACAGGCTATAGGAACGTAGCCAAAATGTAATGTGCCATATGCAGTGGCGACTGGTCATTAGGGGCAGGTGGGGCACAGCCCCACCTAGTGTCAGCAGAAAGTATTACAAATAATGATTACAAAAAATGCAAAAAATAAATAAAAAAATATATAAAATATATTTTAAGATCATGTTTAATCATCTGATTCATCTGTACATTGCTGTTTTAGTCTGTGTTCTTCTAATTAGTGTGTCTACAGTCACAGTGTGTGCCTATTGAGCTGTTTAGAGCCATGTGGGACAAAACCTGATCATGCCCCTTCCTCTCGCTGTGAAGTGAACGATGACTGTAAAAACTACACTGCGCATGCTCAGAGTATTTCCCCCGTTAATGTGTGTGGCAAAAAAATAATGACCAGAGGGGCACGGAGCTGCCATCCCCACCATACGTCATCTCACATCATTCAGAGCTGATTGGCTGTAAGTACGTGTGCCGCGAAAAGTGTGGTGTGTGTGAAGAGGAGACGAGAGAGCTGCAGTGGCGTCCTAAAACCAGGAAGTAAGCACAAAAAAGCAATGAGGTTTCTCCATAGGATTTTAGAAAATAGCTCGAAATAAGATCTGTGGGAAACGTACCTGTTAGATAAATGCACGTTTTGTTCAGCCGGATAACATCCACATGTCTACCCTACTTTTATAATTTTTTTATCATAAATCTATCGATTAGATTTATGATAGACTTTTGAAACTACAAGGAGGACTTTTACAAAAAAGTAATAGAAATGTTTGTCCAGAAGGATAGGCAAATGGACTTCATCTTCAAGTCAAGGTAAGACCGCCATTTTATTGAAAATGGGATCTTACTAAGAGAGAACAATTCAATATTTAAATGATAAAATTACATTTTTTGGGTATCCTTTTGTTGAACTGTCTGTTTAAAATTAATCGAAGCATCAGACAAAAAAAGCTTTTGAAAATAATATTATATTTTGGTTTAGGTCAAAATATAATATTTGTAAACCTGAAGAGTCAGTGCCAGTGCCTCACCAGCCATGAACCTCACTGCACGTCACTGCAGAAGCTATAGACCTCTAAGTGTTTTGTGCCCCACCACTTTTGTACATATAAAAACGCCACTGGCCATATGAACGTGGCGAACAGTATGTCTTATCTGTTGACCTAAAAATTGCTCTGTACTCAGCATCACCAAACCCAGACTCGTGCAAGGTGTTCTGCGAGTCTAAAAAGATCATCTCTCTCAGGAGTGTCTTCATGATCTATAATATGGTAATGAGTAAAGAGATGCACAAAAGTTTACAAGTCATTAGGACAGGGAGTAGAGTTGTGAGTTGACTCTGTTGGAATACACATGAATTAACAGGTAACAGTTGACATTTAAAGGAGTCAAATTATGAAATAGTTGTAATAATAAATGGAAATAATTCAGTAATATGTGTAAGTTCATGAAAATGTTCAAAAACATTACATTTAAAATGATGCAAAAGTTGTGACCAACACTGAGAAATGACTGACATTTATGTTCGGTCTTTGTTTTGTTTACCTGTTACTAACACTACCTAATTACCAGTATTATTATAGACACTAGTGCAGGGGTTCCCAACCCCCGGTCCGCGGCCCGGCGAAATAGCTGTGAGTTTATCGTAATATTTGCAGAATTATAAATATATAAAAATATTTTATCATAACATTTTTTTAAATTTTCGCACCTATGCCACCAGTCATATTATTTCATCCAGTAGCTAGTTAATCTTTCACCAGAAAACGGTTGAAAATGGCTTTTATGATGTTCCGAGGGATTCGGCGGCTCAGCCTCTTGTGCGCACAAGAAAGTTACCGGTGCGCCAAGTAGGAAGAGGAGCGCACAGGAGACAACCGTTTGATTGCAGACTGTTATGTTTATGTGGGGAAATGGTGGTGCATACATTATTTGAGATATATTTCAAACTCGGACTTCATTTTAAGTTTCGACATGTCGGCCAGGGGTGTAGAGGAGCTATTTGTTTAAGCACCGGATTGGCAAAACAGGAGAGTCTGTAAACCAGTCTGCCTTGATCTATGAATTAATGTCCGGGACTCTCACGGTATCTGCTGCCCGCAGCTGTTTTATAGAAGGAAAACCTCCTTCACTTCATGAAATGGCTGCAACATCAGGAGGCAGCGGGACGTATACTCCGCCTCTGAGAAGTGCAGCACCAGCGCGTAAAGAGCTGTGCCTTTTTACGCACCGCATTCGCTGTGTTTAACTTCATCAGAACAGCTTAAGAGTGACTGCAGGCTGCTACGTGTTAACCACACACACCTCTACACACACCTCTACACACATCGAACTGCCCGATTACTCCCCCTTTTATTAGTTTTATGAAGGAGATGTCCAGTCAGTCACCAAGGCGCATGATGTGTGTGTGTATGTGCTCTGCTCAGCTCAGCTCTGTGTGTTCGGTGTGTTTGTGTCTGTCCGACACCGGCATTTGTTTTCAAATGTTTATGAACAGTAATTTACACACATATGGCTAACTCCATATATGCGGCTGTTCCCAAAATAAATTAGTTTAATCTTAATCTCGATGTAGTGCTAAATGCTGTCGGAGTGCACCGGAACGAACGACACTATCATAATATCTTCTGAAAACAAATGCCAGTGCCTGCCACACACACACACACACACACACACACACACACACACACACACACACACCACACACACACACACACACACACACACACCACACACACACACACACACACACACCACACACACCACACACACACACACACCACACACACACACACACACACACACACACACACACACACACCACACACACACACACACACACACACACACACACACACACACACCACACACACACACACACACACACACACACCACACACACACACAACACACACACACACACACACACACACACACACACACACACACACACACACACACACACACACACACACACACAGTGTATTATAATAAGAAATCAATAAATCAACATCATTGACCTACCGTTAACAATACGTGACTTGGTGAGGATTTTGGCCTTATGTGTAATGAGGACTGGGTCACTCAAGAGCACATTGCCAGGGCAGTGCTGGCACATCATCTCCTCTGGAATGAGGTGCCTTGAATATTGCACTTCCACTGAAGGAAGCCGCAAATGTTCTGGCAGAACAGCAGGTAACTTTTTGTTCCTCAGAATATATTGGGCCATGCCTTTCAATTTTTCGACACCTTTTGGTGGATATGGTATATCACCCAGATCAGCCTCATCGTGACTGTGTTCGTCCTCTGTTGATGCTGCTGTACTCAGGCATTCCACCTCCTCTGTGCTTCTGACTTTCCTGAATAGTTCACGGTGTGTCTGAAATAAGTGCCATTTTGCAATGTATTTGTGTGGGCATGATATCTTTGACCTTGCACAAGGACAGTGCCACAAATTCTTCTTTGTGTCGTACGACATGACTCTTCCCAATAGACTGTAATATGAAACAGTAGGCTCATATATGGATATATATTTAGTTGTCTTCGGGGTTCTAGTTTTCGAGTACACAGATAAAGGGACGTGGTTACATTTGGCAAGGTTTTGCCGAACGAGGCAGAGTCTCTTTTTATCTTCACCAAACCATTTGTTGTTCACCATCTCCGTTAGAGTTTCTTCATCAAGCTCAATAGGGGAGGCATAGGATGAACAGTAGGTTATGGATTTTAAATGTGTACATTGATAGGCTTTAATTCCACTCCTCCATGCCAACTCCAGGTTCACCTGGCACTCATTGTTTTCACAAGACACATGCTGATTTTCTCCCCACACTTTATTCTGAACATGCAGAGGAATACTTGTTCCATGGAAGGCTTTGTGGACAGCATAGACTCAATTTTCAGGATCTATGCATTCACTCTGTAGGTGTGAACTTGCGGTTATGTCCTTTTGTTTGGCAGAGTGCTTTCTTTCCATGTGCCTTTTCACATTTTTTTTATTTATGAGAACATGGCATATGGGACATTTCTTCTTCAGTACAGGCTCTACACAGACCCTTTGCATCTTTCCCCCTGGGATGATGGAGATTGCTGGATCTGGGATGATGGGGATTGATGGATGTGGGATGATGGGGGTTGATGGATCTGGGATGATGGGGATGGAAGGATCTGGGATGATGGGGGTTATGGCGGAGGGCTTCGCCTTGCACAAAGCCAGGTGTTTTATGAAGTCTGCTTTGCGCATCAGCATTGATTGGCAGTAGAAGCAGTGGAAATGAAATCGTGGTCTGCAATTTAATGCACATCTGTGAATGGTATACCCTTAAACATAAGAACATAGAATTGTAGTATTATTATTTTGTGATCATATTATTTTAAAGTGTAAATTATGAATACCAAACATCTGAATCAAGTAACTGGTCACCACAAACAAATCATAGAAGGACTTGTTTTGATTTATTGCTCAAATGGAACTGATCATAACATTCAGGCTGCTTTTAATGCAGACACATTGCAACTCCATTTGCATTTCACAAGAGAATGTTTGCAAACTTTACCTTCATGGAGAACTGCACGGTTGAAGTGGATCTCTAAATGGCTTTGGACCTTGCTCAGTTTGGCTGGGTGGAACACATTTGAGGCACAGAACGGGCAGTGAAAGACTTTGCAACATGTAGTGCATCGTTGTAAGTCGGGCAAGGATCTCCCCTCTTGGATTGAAATATGCATCTTGAAAAAGAGAGAGCCTAATTGGTCAAACTGAACATTTTGAAATCATTTCACAGACAGACATAAATTAAGCCTAATTGCCTAATTGATTCTGACACGACAGATTCTAACCTACAGAATAGGCCGACATAATAACTGACTAAAACACCTCATGCAATATTACAAAATATGTCAAAATGATGAGACTGTCTGATAAACAGTAAACAGGCAGTCAGCACAGTTAAGATCATTTACAATGAATTCAAATAGTAATACAATGACTATTAAAGAAGCATTTACACTGAAGACAGAACTTCGGCTACTGCTGATTTAATGTAGAGGACAGACAGATCATATTGACATGCTTTTGTCATCCTTTGAAGTTTAATTAATTAGCTGACTATAATTAATGATCAGGGTTGGGAAGTTTACTTTTTTTAAATGTCGTAGGTTACAGATGACTAATCACCCTGTTAAAAATGTAATACGTAATGTAACTGACTATGTAACTATTTGTATTGAAATTCTAATGTTAATTATGGTTATTTTATGTTTTTTGTGAGTCACTTTGGATAAAAGCCTCTGCTAAATAACATAACCATAACATACGGTTTCATTAAACAAATAAACAAAAAGGCTAACAGTTGGTTTTGCAGCGAGTCATCATAGGCTAACAGATGACATTTAGCACGTGTTGCTTGTATTGCTGTCCAATTCAATACACCAGAATAGTTGTTAACTACAAACAACACGATTCACATTACTCACACTCTTACTGTAATTAGTGATTAAATCAACAATTAATGTAGGACACCTAGTTGGGCTTGCCAAAATCACGCTACAGTTTCATTAAACAAATAATCAAATATGCTAACGAAGCTAATGCTTTTGCTAATAATGCTTTTGCCGAAAGCTATAGCTAACGAATAATTGTTTTTAGTGCCTTTAATACTGTTAGAAGCTATCATAAGCTAACAGATGTTTGTTTGTATTGCCTATCATAGTTAATGTTAGCTAATCACACTTCATTTCAAGACACCGGAATTGTTATTAATGTTAAACTTTAAAAGCAGTGCACTTCACATTACTCACACTCTGCGTTGTCGTTCATATTCATGTCTCCTGCTCGCTAGGTGGCGATGTTGAAAAACAACTAGGGTCGTGGGAGTGCGGTCCTGAGAGCAGTCTCCGACGCTGCAGCATGGATGACTGACTACAAGGGACCCCAAATATGCCCGCTGAAGCTATAACATCAAATAGACATCAAAATCCTGACATTAATAGCCAGTAATAGCAGAGTGCTGGTCTAAAATGATAAATGCCTCAACATTGCTTGCAGTATTCACCAGACTCAGGGTCAGTTTTACCCCACAGGCCATAAGACTGCTAAACACCTGAGCTCTGTGAAGTGCCTCGATAAACACTCCTGTTGTCATCTTGCAATATACTAATTTATATAAATAGTTATCACCCCAATAAACTGTATTTAATTTCTTAATTTACATTATTTAATTTCATATTCTGTTCTTGTACATATCATATTCTATTTACATGTATATAGACTTTTTCTTTTGTATTGTTGTATTTTATTATATATGTTGCATTGTTGGAGGAGCTCAGGTCAGAAGATGTTCATTGCCATTTCTACAGAGTAGCTTTGTGCATATGACAATAACACCTTTGAATCTGAATCTTGAGTATTTCTTCTGTGTTCAGATCTAAGAGTGTGTTTTGTGAGTCTGATCATGTTTATCGACGTTGTGTTGCAGTTGAGGACCTCCTGAAGTACCTGGACCCTCAGTTCACCGACCACATCACTGTACCTGACGCCATGAAGCTGGAGTTCATTCTGGCTGGTAAGAACAAGGAGGACCCTGGGATGGATACATTACCTAAAAATAACATCTGTTTGCAAATGTGTATTTAATTTAGGCTTTGCATTGGATTCATTTATTGCATATAAAGACAACATTCTTTGACATTTGTTAAGGCTTTACATGTAATCAGTGGCGGCGCCAGGGTATGGCTGGGGTAGGCTACAGCTATACCAAGAAATGGCTTAGCCCCACCTTAGCCCCACCATGAAAAATGATGTTAAAGTAAGCAAAATAAAGTCCGTCAACTCGCGCGGAGTAAATTGCACAGACAGCAGTTAGTAAGATTGATTTCAGTAGCCACTTGTCTGGAAATACCGAAGACTAGAAACAGTTTTGAAAACTTTTGTCACGTAGTGATCATCTTCTCAATAAAACATCTTTGATAATGTCTTCTGGCCAATCAGAATCACGATAACGGCGTGGTGTTGTTACAGGAAGTCCCGACGGAGAATACTTTTGCGGTAGTACATCTCTATACATCGATACAACATTACGTGTTGATTTAATAAGACCCCACGGTTTGATGATTGATAGGTGTGTGCACTGCTGCAGCAGGTTCAGCTTTCAGAACAAAGTAACAAAACAAAAATGGCATTATTTTTTTTTTAAATGTGTAATAGATGTATGTATTTTTCTTCTCAAGAGAGTACCAGAATGTGTATTTTGTGTTAGTATTTCAAAAAATCTCCTGGGGGAGAATCCCCCAGACCCCTCTGCAGGGGTTGGGTTTTCAGCATGTCAACTCTTTCACCTGTGGGGAAATTGCAGGATTGGCTCCAGGTCGCCCTTTTTGTTTACTACAAGACATTGCAAATACTGACTTGAGCCCCACCACTGTATGGGTTAGCCCTACCATAGATTACCCAACAAAAATACTCTGGAGCCGCCACTGCATGTAATGTTTGTAAGGTGTTGCATAAATAAGATTTTTAGATTATAGAAGACTAGGGCTGCACGTTTTTGAGAAATAAAACGTATTGCGTCCATATTGACTGATATTGCAATTGTGATAAGATTGATATGAGAATGACCATTTTTTAAAACATTATTCACATTATCATGAATAATATATATTCAAAATGATCATGGTGGGATTTCTTAAAAGGTTTTGTATTACGTACATTACCAGGACTTCTCTTCAGCTCCACAATACTTCATTCAGATATTTCACGTATTTATCCTTGACTTTTTTTTGCACTTACTGCGATTTGGGTATTGCACTAGTCCAAATTGTGATTCTGATATAAATGTGATGAATTGTGCAGACCTATAGAAGACTCGCATCTGTTTTGGTTCTCCCTGTGATGCTGTTGTGTGTGTTTGTCTGCACAGAGGAGGACTTCCTGCTTACCCAGGCTGCTTTGCTGGAGCAGGTCAGCACCTTGCAGCCTCTGCTGGACAGCAACTACATCAGAGGTGAGTTCACCTGCAAGACACTGAGCAGAGCACGGAAAACACAACATCTGCGTGCCACTGTCTCCTGTCGTCAGTGTCCGGGCATGTGACCTACGACACAATAGAATAGAATTGGGAGGGATGAAACCCTCTTTAATGGTCACACATGCAGAGCACACAGCACACAGCACACACAGTGAAATTTGGCCTCTGCATTTAACCCATCCTAGTACAAGGAGTCTAGTACTAGGAGCAGTGGGCAGCTATTATACAGCGCCCGGGGAGCAATGGGAGTGAGGGGGGAAGGGGGGTGTCCGGTGCCTTGCTCAAGGGCACCACGGCAGGGCAGGAGGTGAACTGGGACCTCTCCAAGTAGAAGTCCACACTCCATATTTAGGTCTGGTCGGGGACTTGAACCAGCGACCCTACGGCTCCCAGTCCAAGCCCCTACTGACTGAGCCACTGCCGGACGAATGGTGCTCTAGGAGGAGATTCAGGTGATAAGGTGGGGGGGGGGTTACCTTGGTTGCTGATTGGCTAATGGTTACACAAGCCAAAACATCGTTATGACATCATAAAGTGGCCAAAATCTGATCAGCTCATTTTCAGACAGGTTTTTATATAAATGGATCAGGACAAAAAGAGAGAGAATCTTTTTTCCTGAAACTTTCAGAGTCTCTTTACACAGAGGGGACACATGTTGATGTAGAAGAGACATGAAGAAGAGGGGACACATGTTGATGAAGAAGAGACATGAAGAAGAGGGGACACATGTTGATGAAGAAGAGACATGAAGAAGAGGGGACACATGTTGATGTAGAAGAGACATGAAGAAGAGGGGACACATGTTGATGAAGAAGAGACATGAAGAAGAGGGGACACATGTTGATGTAGAAGAGACATGAAGAAGAGGGGACACATGTTGATGTAGAAGAGACATGAAGAAGAGGAGACACATGTTGATGTAGAAGAGACATGAAGAAGAGGGGACACATGTTGATGTAGAAGAGACATGAAGAAGAGGGGACACATGTTGATGTAGAAGAGACATGAAGAAGAGGGGACACATGTTGATGTAGAAGAGACATGAAGAAGAGGGGACACATGTTGATGTAGAAGAGACATGAAGAAGAGGGGACACATGTTGATGTAGAAGAGACATGAAGAAGAGGGGACACATGTTGATGTAGAAGAGACATGAAGAAGAGGGGACACATGTTGATGTAGAAGAGACATGAAGAAGAGGGGACACATGTTGATGTAGAAGAGACATGAAGAAGAGGGGACACATGTTGATGTAGAAAAGACATGAAGAAGAGGGGACACATGTTGATGTAGAAGAGACATGAAGAAGAGGGGACACATGTTGATGTAGAAGAGACATGAAGAAGAGGGGACACATGTTGATGTAGAAGAGACATGAAGAAGAGGGGACACATGTTGATGTAGAAGAGACATGAACAAGTGGACTTTGCATAATAGGTGACCTTTGAGAACCGTTTTTTTCTAGAACTAGATAAATACTTGGTGACAGATCTTCAGAATTGGTTTTCTGTTTGCTTGAATGTGTCAACCCTTAATATTCAGTGATGTAGTGTTGCCGCGGTGTTGTACAGGAGTGTGTGTTCTGTGTTAGCTGTATGTTTCTGTTTCTCACAGATGTGCCAGAGCACGCCACCAAGCTGCAGCGCCTGTCGCAGATCCACATCAAAGAGCAGGTAACCCCCCCCCCCCCCCCCCCCCCCCCCCCTCCATCTTTCTCAATGTGTGTCTCTCACTGTGTTCTATCCATTAACCCCATGTTCGTCTCTGTCCCAGGACCAAACCGAGGCTCAGTCCCTGGAAGTGAAGAAGCTTTTTGAGGAGTACAACAAAATGGTACACTTCTATTTTCACAATATTTCTATTTAAACCACGAGACAAAGGTAGTATTGATGTTAACGTTTTCTAAATGGCACGTCACTACAACAATTTCCCTATACTTTAATATCTCTTGCAGGAATAAAAACACAGTTATGATGCCGAAATCCTATTTGTTCTGTTCTTAAACTAACGTGTCTAATAAATGCTTAACCCAGCAGTGGAAAATCAGAGAGAGATTTAGATCGCTGCTCATATCTAGTCTTTTGTTTCACCGACGTTCTGATATCACAAAGCTCCTCCCACTCACCACTGATCTCTGATTGGCAGATGTTCCTGCTCTCTAAGCAATTCACCCAATGGGACGAGACCCTGAGGAACCTGGAGGAGGCCAAGGGCATTCGACCTGTGGAGTAGCTTCTGTCTACACACACACACACACATTTCTGATGGTGATGATGAAGAAGTCGGCACTGTGGCGGGAGCTTCACAGATCCTAACATTTCACCTTTTCAAACTGCTCATCGTTCTGTAAACAAAATGTTATTGAGTCAGGCAACAACACATTGAAACATTACCTTGTTCGTTTGAGAAAATTCTCCAATCCAGGCAAAAATAGTTGAGCTTTCACACAGTTCTCCAAATTGTTGTTAGGACTCTGTCTCATGTGACTCTTCATCAGTCGTCCAGAGGAGCTCCCATCACGTGACGTCTGGCTCAGTTATTTATTTACAGACAATAAAGCTTGTCATGCTTGCATATTGACTCGATGTGTAATACGTTCCTCGATGCCTCTCTAATGCAAGTCACAAGACACACACACACACACACACACACACACACACACACACACACACACACACACACACACACACACACACACACACACACACACACACACACACACACACACACACACACACACACACACACACACACACAACACACACACACACACACCACTAACCCTGACATGATTTGTAAAAAAAGAAAGAAGCTTAATTATTCTGTCCAATATTCTGGTTTTAAAATGTTCCATATGTTTTGTTTCATAATACATCATTGTGGTTAATACAATAAATATTTCTTTTTTTTCTTTGACTTCACTCTTCTCCATTGTGTGTCTGCTGTCGGTCATGTGTCTATAAAATGTCCATCAGTGACCGATTACAAGAGGAGTGTATCTATCTGAGGACTGAAAGACCTGTTATATTAACACTGAGAAGACACATGGGTACCACTTTACAATAAGATACCCTTATAAAGGGTTTACGAATAGTTTGTAATTCATTTACTAATTAGGTTGTGAACACTTTATAAATCATTAATAAGCTTTTATAAGACATGAGATAAACAGGGCGACTGACCGGTTGTTGTACTGCTAAGCAGTGTCGGTTCTAGAACATTTTACATGGGGTGGCAAAGGGGGGGCAAGAGGTCATGCCAGGGTGGCATGGGAGGGCGGACAGTACGTGGTATTTCATACTGTATAAAACCTATTTATTGTTAAATCATGCCCTAACACAAGTGTTCTTAATGCACAAGAGAAACAAGGTGTTCAGACAAACAAAAGGGGAGGGGCTTAGCTTGACCCTGGATTCAGAGGGACAGGAGGTGAATAGGGGTGGAGAGGGGTTGCGTCGACTAGAAATAGTAAATGAATGAGAAAAGACGGTCTTCCTGGTTGAATTTGCGCTGAGCTTCATTTAGTCTCAGATCACTTCCACATGTTCTCCATCAGCTTCGTATGGCACCTTGGACATAACACAAGAAGAACATCCTTTTTGTTTTTGAAAGACAAACCTTTATTAATGATCCAAACATTTAATTTGATCACACATCCCATCAGTAAAGTCTGTTCAATGATTTCATGATCAGTTTCACTTTATCCACACCATACATGTGTTTCATCTCAGCTATTTCAAACAGAATCACACATGATTTCCTTATTGATTATTATCATGATAAGTTATGTTCTATAAAACATCAGAGTACCCACTTTCTATTTGGATAACAACAACAACAATTAGTCTGCAAAACAATAACATTTCATTTCCCAAGCTAAGACTCTAAGCTATTTAAAACAGGATAATACATGATTTCCTTATTGATTATGATCATGACAGTAAGTAATATCATTTTAAATAAACATTTTATGATGAAATAAGTGTTATAACCATCTGGGAACTCATTTGTTAGTTAATTTGGGCAACAATAACATTTAATCCGTAAATAAATGTCTATATTGTTTTAGAAAGTGGCCAGAATAAAATGTGTACAATAAAAGAAGCTCTGCTGCTTTCTCTCTGAAGACTCGTGCATTACAAGAGAAACAACAACATGAATCAAAAGAAATATCCAACACATATTTAGAGCAAAGTTTACATATCAGTTCAGGTGAACAAGGATCCTCCTGAGCAGTGACAGCCTCCATGGCTAAACAGACCCAGGAAGGAGCCGGAAGAAAGTCCAACATTTACAGAACAACTCATGAGAAGATGTTGAAGCCCCACCCATCATGTTTGATTGACAGCTGATCTCTGCACAGTGAAGACATGAACAATCAGCTCTGATGGTCACACGGTGAGTTTAAGAAGTAGAAGAGCTCCTCCAATGACTTCAGGCTTTTTGAGTTTACACAACTCAGCAGTGGTTCCATAAGTCTGATAAAGCCAAAGTCCAGCATGTAGCGGCTGAGTGAATGTGGTGTGGACTCTGTGGAGGAGAGTCATGGTTTCAGAGACGATGCTGTAGAAGGACAGAACACCTGCTCTGTGATCCAGGTACACTCCTACTCTGGAGGACTGAGGACCTGAGACGGGAGTGCTGATACGGTTGTAACGAAATGAATAACTGTTTTGGTCACAATCTAAGGACCAAGATTTGTCATTGTGTCCAAATAAACTTTCAATCCCTGCTCTGCTGATATTCTTGTATGCGACTGCTACATAAACTGCTGCCCCTCTCTGCTCCACCTCCCAGTAACAACGTCCAGTCAGACTCTCTCTACTCAGGACCTGAGAATAATAAGTGAATCTGTCTGGGTGACTAGAATAAGACTGTTGTTGTCCCATGTTTGTTGCTTTTTTGCTCCCCTCAGATAATACCAGCCATGTGTGTGCTGTGTTTGGATCCAGAGTGATCTCCTGTGAATAGTGTAAGAACCCAGCTCTGGTGGTGGGCTCTGCTGCTGACGGTAAAACCTCCACTTCAGTCGGTGAGACGTTTGTCCATTCCTCTCTCAGGACGTCCTGTAGTTTGTCTCTGACTGCTGACAGGGCCGCCGTCACATGCTCAAAGTAGCTCAGAGGACGGATGTTGATGCTGGATGAGTGTGTAGGTTCACTGAGGGCTGACAGTGAGGGGTAGCTGTGCAGAAACTGGTTGTGATCCTCTGTGTGAGACAGCAGCTTCAGCTCAGAGTCTCTCCTCTTCAGCTCAGAGATCTCCTGCTCCAGCTTCTCCTGAAGCTCTTTGACTCGACTCACTTCACTCTTCTGCTGGGATCTGACCTGCTGCTTCACATCAGAGCTTCTTTTCTCCATCAGACAGATCAGCTCACTGAACGTCTTCTGACTGTCCTCCACTGCTTTATCAGCAGAGCCATTGACGGCCTCCACCTCCTTCTGAAGCAGCTTCCCCTCCTTCTCTCTGTCCTGGATTCTCTGCTGGATGTTTAGTCGACTCCCCTCCAGCTCTCTCTGCCTCTCAGTCCTCTCTGCTGCAGCTGAGACCGTGTCGTGGCCTTTGTGTTTGTCCACAGAGCAGAGAGAACAGATACACTGCTGATCAGTGCGGCAGAACAGCTTCATCACCTCGTCGTGACGAGAGCAGATGTTCTCCTGGAGCTTCTTGGAGGGCTCCACCAGCTTGTGTTTTTTAAAGACAGGTAATTCATTATGACCCTGGAGGTGTTTGTCACAGTAAGAGGCCAGACACACCAGACAGGACTTACAGGCTTTCAGTTTCCTCCCAGTGCAGACATCACAGGCCACATCTTCAGCTCCAGCATAGCAGTGATCAGCAGGAGCATGTGGGAGTCCAGTCTTCTTCAGCTCCTCCACTAAAGCTGCTAACATGGTGTTTTTCAGCAGGACAGGCCTCGGTGTGAAGCTCTGCCTACACTGAGGGCAGCTGTGGATTAGCTCTCCATCCCAGTGCTGTTTAATACACTTCATGCAGTAGCTGTGTCCACAGGAAGTAGTCACCGGATCCTTCAGTAGATCCAGACAGATGGAACAAGAGAAGGTTTCCCGCTCCAGCTGAACTCCTTTCTGCGCCATTTCACCTCTCAGTAGCAGCGAGTGTGTGAGTTTCACTTCCTGAGAGCTGAAACTTGTGTGACAGGTTATCTGAACAGCATGTGTGTGGGCGGTGAATGTGGCCTATCAGCTCTTGTTCTTTCCCCACATGTTGGTTACACCCCTCCTCCTCAGTGTGGCTCTGAAGGGGAGGAACCAGGAAGTACAGAGTGGAGCTGGCTGTGTCTGAGAGCAGGAAGGAGAGGGAGGGCTTATCAAACTCTGAGTCATTCAGGACGAGGAGCAGCGCTCAGACTCTGACCGACACAGAGCCTCGGTTACAACCTGCTCTTCATTTGAAAAGAGCTTTTAGTTGTAAAATAAGTTGGTAAACTTACAAAATCTGAAGGAGGTTAAATACTTGTTTCCTCCACTGTAAATGTATAGCCTCAATGTCCTGAGATAGCTGATTGATTTAAAAGTTGGATGAAATAAATAAATATTGGCTGATTTCAGGTATTTCTTTCCATTTGTTTCATTTTTGTATCACTACACTCACACTGATTTAACATCAATCCTTATGGTATCTGATTTGTAGCTTTTATGTACCTTTCTAAAAACATGTATAGTTAGTTTAATATGAGTAGGAATCTATACCGTTGCCCTGTCCAGTCTGATTCTCTCTTTGGTCTTTCTAGTTCTTGACAGAGCACAATTACCCAGGCTCCTTGTCAGCCAAGACCCTCGTGTCCCCCTCCACCAAGGAGTTTGTGAAGGTGTTTGAGTTTGTTTACCGTCAGATAGACCCCACGTTTGAGATGCCAAACTCAAAAGTTGAGGAGGAGGTTCCAGCTCTCCTTAAAGCCCTGAGGTAAGATGATGTCATTTTGTTTAATAAGTATGTATTCATTAATATTAATATTACTTTGTTTCGTTTAGTGCCTCACATTGCATATCATAAAAAGCACCTGGTGGCTTACCTTGTGTATCGGGAAGGCACTTTAGTACCACTGGAATATAAAGATTGGGCTGGATTGAAGTAATATTAAAAATAACAGAAAGATGAAGAGAAACTATTAAACTATGCATAGTACAACAAGTCTGAACATGCAAGTACCTATTTGAATTAGTTGTAGCCTTCCTTTTATACATTTTACAGGGTTCTTACGGTCATTAAAAACCTGGAAAAGTCATGGAAATGTAACTAAAGTTGCATCAAATATAATTTATATTTTATCTAATCGCCGAAATAGTAATACTATAATGATAATAAATACTGTATTGTATAGTAATGAAACGTAAAATGGCATTTAACTGACGAGGTATTTTGCTGGTGAGAGATTTTAGTTGCTTTAGTCTGTAGAAGCTAGTAAGCCAACTATTTGATTTGTTTTAGATAGGCACAACATGTTTCATATCCAGACCTTATTTTCCTGTTCCATGTTCAAATAAACCATTTTCAGTGGTACCGCTGAGAAAGAGTCATTGTTTTGGTCATGGAAAATGAGGTAAAGGTCATGGAGAAGTCATTGAAAATCATTGGTGAAAAAGTGTATGAACCCTGATTTGAAGAACTTTCAACTTGTAACCCAGTATTCCTACAC